AGCAAATAAAGTCTGAAGATTATCGCTCGCGAGGATAAGAAAAAGAACGGAGCAACCAATGCAGAATGTATTAGAGAATATTCCAACGGTGTAATATCCAATATTCCCATATGCGTCATACGCTAGTTCTAATAATGAATTTCTTCTCCCTTTCGGATTTCTCTTTAAAGCAACGTGCGCGGGTATGTCTTCCGGATATCTGTTTAAAGCAACGCACGCGGAATGTATATTAGAATGATGTACGTTATTTATGATACGCAAAGAAACATTTGTGCAAAGTACTTGTTCAGATATAGAGCCTCTATAAGTTTGTTGTTTGCATAGACCGTCATTATTGCCGAGAGTATTAAAAAGATCACCGATATCCATCCGCCTAATTGAATAGCGTAGGGAATGACAAGAATTCCTGATCCAGCCACCACACATCTGTGAAAAAAGTAACAAATGAGAAATTTGATTCCCTTGCCCAATGTATCGGCCTAGACTTACATGATATTTATAATCGCAGAAAAATTAGATGCTTTTTCATTTTCTTCTCCAACTTTCGATGCTTCTACATCGGACGCTCCGTAATTCTTATGCATTTTCGGATTAGTAGCAAATACCTGGCAAAAATATAGGGAGTTCGAAAAATCGAAAACATTTTATACTTATTTATAATATTGAAGAAACTTTGATTAATATTATCGAAGACTTAATGTCAAATATGTTTGTTTATGCGCGAATATCCGCATTCAAAAATAAATGAAAGGACAAATTTGGAAAAATATTTGTAGCGCACATTTCATATTGTAATACAATGATTGGAGGGGATCGAGATGTCAAGAAAAAAAATATGTGCACATGCACATTTGCATGTTGTGATACAATTATCCGTGATGTCAAGAAGCATGCATTAATCATTTGATTCCCCTTATCAATTCTTTTGAATAACATTACTCCTTGATTGTACAGAAGGGAAATTGATATTATCGTGAAAACAAAGGAATTTCCTTATACATCCTTATCCATACAAAACGTGATAAAGTATCCTCTTACATGACGAATATTTGATCAATCGGTAAATTCTTTCGGTTAAATATTCTATCTTCACAATTTTTTTGGATTCACAACATTGTCTTCAAGGAAGCAGAGAAAATTTATCCAAATGAATTCTTCATTTACAGGTCATTACGCTTTATTATTTTTATTATTAGGGATGAGTTTATTGTGATTTTAAAACATACTTATCAGATAATTTAATAATAAATGTTTAACCGAACATACAGAGTAAATAGAAATCATAGTATTAGGTTCAGAAAAAGCAGTAGTTGTGCAGAAAAAGTGTTGAAAGGTTTATTATCACCATCAGAATATAAAGTGGACATACAAATCGATTAACATAATTTAATCATTGCAATTTTTTTGAACTTTTGTCGCCACGTACAAGACTAACTGCCTCACGTATGAAATTCTTTTCTTGCCAATATCTATAAACATTGGGAGGTAAAATTAAGGAATAAATGATAAAATTGATAAAATTATTCATTTTTAAAAAAAAAATAAAAAATGTGTTGGATTTTCAAAGAAAGGATACGTTATTCCCACAGAAATTATACCACAAAAGCATCCAACGGAGATATGTTTAATTTTAGCATCCAAGGTTGCCCATCCAATATATTGATTTGACCAGAATGTAGCTATCCAACTAAGTGTAAAAGCTATCCACACTAAAGGCTTAGGGATAATGTTTGAAATCGATAACATTCGACGTAATTCGTCTATGTTCGCTTTGGAGCCATCCCGATTTTTCAAAAAGTAGGTCCTAATAAATCGCCAGCTCCACGTGATACGTGTCGATAAATTGAATGCGCTTGCCGCAACTAATCCAACAGCGCCGCCTGATAGCATTTTCATGAACACCACGCCAGCTCCAATGAATCCCGCTGAGAATGCTATCAACCAATAATTTAACGTACTGAGTGTTTTTTCTGTCGCAACCGCAGCCACGAAAGCTTCCGTAATACCGTTAACCCCCATGATCGGGATGTACGCACAATAGACCGATAAGACCAATGGGGCGGGGGACTGTGACCATACCGAGCCTACCATAAGGTCTATCAGGGTCCCCGTATAATTTGTTGCTAGCCCAATAAATAAAAGCCCAAGTAAAATGTGAAATTTAATTAAGGACGTCAAGATCTTTAGTGAGGTGACCAATGCCGTGTTCCTTGCATCCTCAAAATCTTCATCGCGTTTTTCAACATCTGTCAAAAGTTTTGAGAATAATGTACGACCTGTTTCCTCAAGAGGTTGATATAAGATCCGAACGATCAAAGAACCTGGGGAAAATCACGTCAAGTTGAAAATAACGTTATTTTCAAGTGAATACAAGAACATATAATTGACTCTTGATTTTACCATAGTTTACAACAAATGCATAGATTCCCTGATCGGATGTGTTGCTTAACCACGTTATTAACATCTTATCCCCTTCAGTTAATACATGTTTCAACAATGATTGTTTTGTAAATGTTTTGGCGAGACCGAAAAGTTGCGCATCAAACCAGAATTGATTTTTTCTTGAATACAATGAATTTAAAAGGACAACATACGTTGCCATAAAAATTAAGTCTTATACCATTTAGATGTCAGGCATTTAGTATATGGAATCATGTAGCAATGATGTTACAAATGTTATTTACCTCTCATCTTGAAGTTTCCGTGGAATCAGCAAACTCATGTCCCATCTAGATAAGAAGTATCCTATGTAACCTGTCATTAATATGAGTGTATAAACAAATTGCGCGACAGAAAATGCTAGTATTCCGTATGCGTTCTCTCCCTTTTCCCCATTTTTTGGTGCGCCTAAAAGTGTAAGCGCGAGTGTAATTACGCAACGCACAATCACACCGGCTCCTTCGCAACCAACACGTAGTTTGAAAAGTAGTTTATTCATGGCAGCTATGTATAATGGCTCGATCATAAGTTCCCCGAGGGCTGACAGACCGTATAAAACCACTGATGTCACATAATATGGAGCCGCCAGAGTTTCTTCGGTGGCATAAAATATGTAGAATGCACAAGCAAGGAAAGTTGTGAGCATTCCAATAGGTATCGGAATCCATGATATGTTCGTGATTTTTTGCAAGGATCCTCTCCTGCTATTAGCAAACACAACTTTTTCCGCGGATGGGCTCGCGAGTTCGTCAACGTTGCTAGTGTCATCACCTCCTCGCAATAAAGCGCATCTAAATCCTTCGCGAGAAAGAAACAATATTGTCGCTAATAACAATTCAAGTTGAACTGATGCAATTCCAAATGTAGCCGGATCGGTGAACCGTAATACGATTTGGTGTAATGTAAAAGTTGCCATCCTGCTGACAAGTTGGAGTAAAACAAGGGA